GGACTGGCAAACTAGTCAGGACTGATGAAAAAGATAAATGGTACACCTGCTCCTTTCTGCCAGAATGCTTAAACTGGGGATGGGGTTCATTTTTCAGCAGGACAATGACTAAAAGTACATTGCCAAGACAACTCTAGAGTGCCTTTAAATGAAGACTACTGATGACTTTGAGTGGCCCAGTTCTGCCCTTAACCCCATCGAACATCTGTGGCTAGACCTCAAAGCTGCAATCTGCCATCACTCCTCAACTAACCTGGCAGAACCTGAAAAGATGAATGGGCAAAATGTGTGTTGTGCAAAATAAATAGAGACTTTTTGACTACAGCCAAAATGACTTCTGGTTGTAAGAATTCTCTTGTCAGGTTTATCTACCTGACAGGAGAGATAAACTCTTATAAATCAATGACACTTCTGTTTTTTATTTTATGTTATTGATGGTTATTGATGGGTTGCCTTTCCCTTTTTCTTTTTTTTAGTCCATACTGCAAAAAAAAAATAAAAATTCAAGGCATTTTACCACTTGATGTGTTTTAAACTCTACCTACTTCAATGTTCTCAAAGCTTTGAGCTCTACACCCTTAGAAAAAAGGTGCTAAACTCTCACTGTGGCAGTACCCCTCTTGTCACTGGGATGGTGCCCTCAAGTGTGCATCTCAGTACCTTTAGTCAGAGAACATAACTGTACCATAATCCATGAAATTCTATTTTCTAAGTTGTATTGACTCCACACACCCCGTCTCGGCTCCAGCATTTTTATTTTATTGTTCTTTTTTAAAACATTAGGTTACGAAAAGGTACAAATATGTACTTTTCACCTGGAAACACTTATTTAAGGTTCACAACTGGACCTTAAAACCACTGTTGTATGTTTGAGGGCACATTTACATTGTTTATACCTTGATGAATTAAAAATGTACTTGTAACAATGTAGGTTCATAATGATTTCTACAGACCTTTGGACAGCCCAGTGCTATGCTTTCCTTCAACGTATCTTTTATCCATTCCAGGTCCACACTGTTTTTATTCAGTCAACTAAAACTACGGAGGTGCATCTGGCATATTATGTCACCGGACCATCACAAATACTGTTTTTATTCTGCTGCTCTTCTTTTATCCTTTCTTTCTCATCCATCATTTTGTTAAATTCAGACACTCTTTTTTTGCCTATTCTTACTTCTGCAATTTCAAGTTGCATGCATCCACCATAATGTATGGCATAATATGGCAGACTATGCTAAATTAAGACTTTCTTTGCTTTATCTTTACATATGAGTCTCTGCATCGTTATCACCTGTGTTTTGTTAACTTTGTTTAATTTCACTCTTTCATATTGTGTTTTGTGAAGTCTTATCAGTTGAACTTTCATTACTCAGCCTTGTTTCTGGTCTTCTTGCTTCTAGTGTGCATGGTCTAGTTGCTGCCTTGTTCAGCCTGTCCCTGGGCTACGACTATTGATTTGCCTTCATTATTCTTGTCTGACTGTGTTTTTGACTGTTCATCCCATTTTTGCCCTTTGACTCCAAGAAAAACCCAAACTACTCAGCACTTTCAACCTACTGTCTGTGCTCACCAGTGTTGCAAACATCAATAAATATAAATGCTTGATTTCATATAATCAGTGAATTATATACACACAGAGAAAACAAAACAAGAGATTGCAATGTTTGTAATTAGCCTTGTTATTTCTGTATCCCAAGGTTGGCATTGGCAGCATCTTTATGAATATACTTTTACAGCTACGTTTTTTATAATTATTTGGGGAAGTTGATTTCTTAATGTGTTAGTTGTGGCTGTAATCTCCCAGGGCTGGAGGGCGTGGCCACTTCACAAAGTAAAATGCACTGAATTATGTAACAGCTTTGATTTGGAAAACATCATTCGTATATGTTCTGAGCTCAGATGGAATCTTCAGCCTCTCTCTTACTGGGCTCATATTCTGACCCCTTCACGAGTGAAATGAGACACACTGAGATCAAAAAGCATGTCTGGGTTGAGAAGTACAGAACAAACTGTTCAGTTCTAACTTAAGTCCTCAAGGACTGTCTGGATCTATTGGAAGGCTGCAATGATGCATTTTCTTCTTGACAGCCAGGAACAGCAATAGGAAAGTTTAACTATTTCCTCCTGCATCTTCCATTCAGATAACAGCCTGAGACTGCAGTAACAACACTCCAAGTCACTTCAGTGTGAATGGGTGCTCATACGTAAATCTGCTCATGGTTGTGACATCATAGTCATGATGAGTTCAAAAAGAGCTGCTTTTCTAGCGTGTATAGACTGTATGGACTGGGGACAGTATATTTTGAAATCTTTGAAACAATGTTTACATAGTACATCAAACTCTTTTATTCAAAGCAACAAGGAAAATTCAGTTTTCCATGATATGAGCAGTGAAACTGAAAATGTTTGTATCAAAGTATACAAATATGTGGTAAAATCACAAATAAACATACAATTGATGGCAAAAAGAAGGAAGTCTTTCTTCCTCAGCTGATGAAATCCCTATCTGTTTCTCTTTGCATGTGTATGAATGTGTGAACTACAAAAGCTGCGGAGATGACTGTTTCATTTGAAGTGTGGAGTGGAAAAATTGATTAAATAAGCCTGAACGAGACTTCACATTAGGATCACACTAAATTAAACATCTTACAGCGGAAGGTGATGTTATCATTTTCACATGGTTTCATTAATAATTTTAGGTTTAGTAACAAATTTTCTAATTAAAGAAATCTGCTTTTTTAAACAATGTAACTTTATTATTTCATATGAGGCAAAACTTTACTCAACCAAAATAAATGTGAAATGCTTTTAGCACTCTGGATAAAGATAATCAACATCAAAATAAAGTCAGTTTAGCATGAACACACTCAGTTGTTACATGGTAACAATATGACATTGTGGATGGTACATCATGGTACAGATTGGACAACTAAGGCCCTGTCCACACATATCAGGGTATTTTTAAAAACATTTTTTTCTCTGCATTTTTGGTTGCTGAAAATGAAGGTTTTGTTTTTGAAAACACTCTCCAGGGTGGTTCAATGTTTTTGTGCAAATGTGCAAAAGGAAGCTTTCTGAAAATGCTGACAGTTTGCACATGTCTGTAGTAGTTTTCATTTACTAAGCATGCAGAACAGGAGACTGAGATAAAGGTAACAGCTGGGTTCCTGTGTGCTTGGTAATTCTGAGTGGGATAACATGTAACTGAATTTATGTGTGCTGTGCTCTGTTCCCCTAAAAGTATTAAAATACCACAAGGTTTCTAAAGATCTGAGACTCAATGGTCCATTTCAAATGGAACAAAAAAAGCTAAAAAAAGAAAAAAAAAATCTTAAGTCCGTATTTCAAATGAAACAAAAATCGAAGAAAAAACCTCAGCTTCTCTGGAGTGTGTACATTTCAGAGACGGTACTATAGATGTGGCAACTTAAACATCTACACATCAACAAATGGTGGCTTTCTTTCTTTTTTTAGGTTTTTATTTTCTGACAAAAAATCTGATTTTGAATCTGTGTGAAATATCAAATTATGGAGGTCCGATGGCCTAAAGGTGAAAGCCTATTGTATTTGTAACACTGCCTTCACTTTGTTAGAAGATTTCTGCTAAAGATCATCCCCTCTGCTTTAGCGTCACGGTGCAACGTGCTTAAAAAAGCTACTTTTCTTTTACTGCCCTGTACTGGGTACACCTGCTCATGTGAGCATATTTGCATTCTCTAGTGGACATAGAGATTTTCAGAAATGCTGTTGGTGTGGACAAAGAAATTTTTGAAAATGGCGAAAAAAAATACTTGTTTTAAAAATATAATGATATGTGTGGATAAGGCCTGATAATGTTTTTTTTTATTTTTTTTCACTGTGCAGTGCAGTATGGTACACATTTCATCATCTTTTCAATTGTCAAGTGACCTGCACTGTATCTAAGTACCTGTGCCGATCTTGGTTACCCTCTTTAGACCTTGGTATACTTTGAACAAAATAAAACTCGCAAAGTTTGCACAAAGCCAAAATCACATTACTGTGTTTTTGTTTTGGTTATCACATTTAAACCAACCTATCAAAGGTCTTTAATGTGTTTATCTGCAGATGCTGTCCTGATGCTGAGTGTGTGACACAGCATGGAAAGCCTCTGTGTAATATCTGCAGTGGTTTATTTTATCTGCAATTACATCATACTGTTTGAAGCCAGGGTCCGAAACGTTGTGTCTGCAAGAAGTATGCCAAGGCCTTTACCGGGGTAGCACATCACTGTCTGTGATTCTTTGCATAACACCAAATGGTTAAAAAAAGCAATCACAGCTTGAAACTCCTCTATTATAGCAACTGCTGTTTGTATTTACAGTTAACAGTAGCACTGTTTATTATATGACCACCTCGAAAGAACCCACCAATTTTAAAAGTACTGAAAGGACATGGGTACTCAACCAAAGTGTAGATAGTTCCGGGTTTGGACTAATAACTGTGTACCAAGCCATATTGCACTGCCCACTAAAAAAATCCTCAAAACTATCTCAATCTATTAATAAATAAGCAAATAAATAAATAAATAAATGTCACTGACAATTAAATTACATTATGATGTTCCAAGTAATTAAACAGTCTTCTTTTAAAGTAATACTTGTTGAAGCGTGTGCTGGGATGCTCTGGCTCTGATTTTGCTTTTCAAAATAAATTCATGAACAATTGTGCCAAAAAGATGTCAAGCTTATCACCATAACCTTACAGTACCATAACAATTTTAACCACAGTGAACGTTTTGGACAACATTTTGAAAAATCCACCAAAAAACACAACTTAGTGATTCTCACAGATGCTGTGGAGAACCGTATGTCTTGCTGTGACATTCCACACTGATTGCACCTCCACAAAATCGTTTTCATTACAGCGCCAGATTACCAACATATATTTACAACCTTTAAAAATCAGTTTATTCCTGTGTGCTCAGGTCAATGGCTTCAAACAGTACAGTTTACATACTAACTGAAATACACTTTATTTTTATTTTCATTATTGTGACATCTTGCAACACTGAATTGTAAGAGCTTCAATATGAAACAGGTTCCGTCTCAAGAGTTGAACCTCCAAAGTCAAACCAGATGGGCTCTGATTCATTTGTTAGTTTATTTCTTTTTCTGAAAATCCAGAGAACCATAATCTGCGGGTGGTGCAATGGGTTGCTCAATCAGATGCAATGAGCAGATTGTGTCATTGTGCAGTTTGAGTAGAGGACATACTGTAAGGTGATCCTGTCACAGTATTCCATCAAAAAAAAAAAAAGTTTATTCATAGCCTGGCAAGTCTTCATCTCATCTTCCTCAGCCTCATGCGATTTTCTTTATCACGCTTTTTCAGCCCGCTGACAAACTGTGAGAAAAGGAGCTCCTGGTCCTTCTGCTTCAGAACCTGTTTGAAGCGTGGGTCTCTGCCGTACTTCTCCGAGAACTCCTTAAAATTTGACCTACAAATGAAAGAGGGGAATGAATCACATAAGTTATTACAGACTGCTGAAGCCGTCCGATTTTCCATTTCACAGGTGTGATACTCTGTTGTTCATCTACACATGCACTGCATGCCACTCTGTGCGGCTGTTGTGCTTTAATACAAGTTTGGTAATTGTTAACTGTGTGGCTCAATCTGAACAGCTTCAGTGAGAGTGGGTTTATGGACAGGACAAAGCCTTGAACTGAAATGAGTTCAGCTCTGTTTTTGCTCTTAGGACTGAAGAAAATGACTACAGTGCAACTATCAGCAGCCTGACACTTCAGCAATTCCATCTGCACTTTCTCTGCCCATCTCGTGTCTCTGTGTCCAATTGGAAGCTTAACTGACTGTGTGCAGAGCTGACTCAAAAGTCATGCTTTGTCTTGTTTGTGTGTTTGAAGACTGAGGATCAGATTTACTAAGCCTTTTGCACCAGGCTTTAGGCACATATAGCATGGAGCCTGCCTGAAAAGCATGTATGTACAAAACTGGCACTTACAAAAATTGGTGAAGATAATAGAAGTGTGGCTGATTACATATTTCATTCAATTTACTCTATGGGCTGGTTTCCCAGACAGGGACTAAGCCTAGTCACGGATTATGTTTTCCTTTAATGAAAAATCAGCTTTCAAGTGCCATGCAGTCCAGGACTAGGCTTAATTCCTGTCTTGGAAACTAGCCCTATATGCCTAAAAGTATGTAGACAACTGCTCATCCAATATTTCTTCTGAAATCAACAGTATTAATAGAAAGTAGGTTTCCTTTTTGCTGTAGTGAGAGCCTCTACTTGATATTAGAACACTGATGTTAGGGTTTGATTGTATTCAGGCACAAGAGTTTAAGCGAGGTCAGATACTGATGTGGGGCGATTAGGTTTGGGTCACAAATGCCACCCCAAGTCAAGGTATCCCAGGTCTCCTAGGGTATTAGATGGAGACCCACCACTCAGGAGAACACAGTTCCACTGCTGCACAGCCCAATTCTAGGGTTTTTATACACTGCTTAACATTGGACCTAGTGACCCTAAGCTCATGTACAGCTGCTCCAGAGCATCCCATTTTTGGCAATACAGAAGATGTGTATGCAACTGAACATGTGTATCAGCAATGTGTGCACCTTAAAGGAGATTACTTAACTGACAAGAAGACTACACTGGACATAGCTAATTAGAATAGTACACAGGACCTTTAGTGTACTGGAGCTTTGGTGGGCAGTTTTGCATTGCATTACTCTGCCTCTTAACTTAGGAGGATAAATTAACTGTAGTGTCTTAAAGGTGCATTATTATTAGGAGACTTCCTTCCTGAGAGTTTTTTTACCACCAATTAAAAAAAAACAACTTAGATACTTTGCATCCTGGTAGTCGAGTTTGACTAAGCCACAAGCTGGGGACTCTTCACCACAATAGAGGAGTTTGAGTAGGCCATGACCCAGGGACTTCAGACCACATCAGAGGAGTGTGACTAGACTGCAAGGCAGGGAGTTCACACAGTGACAGAGCAGTTTGACTGTGCTGCAAGCCAGCAACTTTGCACCATGACTGAGGAGTTTGACTAGGCTAAGAGTCAGAGGCTTTGCACGTTGACAAAGGAGTTTGACTAGGCTAAGAGTCAGGGGCTTTGTACCGTGACAAAGGTGTTTGACTAGGCTGCAAGTTGGGGACTTCGTGCCGTGACAGAAGAGTTTGACTAGGCCAAGAGTCGTGGACTACGTATCCCGACAAAGGAGTTTAATTAGGCCTCAAGCCGCAAACTTAGCATCATGATAGAGGTATTTGACAAGGCTGCAAACCAGGGACTTTACACCATGACAGTGGAGTTTAACTAGGCTACAAGCTAGGGACTTTGTAACATGACAGGGGAGTTTGACTAGGCTGCAAACCAGGGACTTCACACTGTGACAGAAAAGTTTAACAAGGCTGTGAGCCGGAGACTTTGCACTGCTACAGAGAAGTGTTATTAGGCCACAAGCTGGGGACACACCGCAGTTTGATTTGGCTGCAAGTTAGAACTTTGTTCTAAGACAGAGGAGTTACACTGGGACATGAGATGGGGACTCTGCACTATGACAGAGGAGTTTGACTAGGCCGCGAACCGGGGACTTCACGCTGCGGTTCGATTTGGCCGTAAGCTGTGACTTTGTACTGCAAAAGAAAAGTCTGACTGGGATACTAGATGGGGACTTCACACTGTTTTACTAGGCCGCGAAACAGGGACTTCACACCATGACAGAAGTTCGATTAGGCCATGAGCCGAGGACTTCACACCACAGCTTGATTTACCCACAAGCTGGGACTTTGTTCTGTGACAAAGGCATTAGACTGGGCCATGAGACAGGGACTTTGTACCATGACAGAGAAGACTGACTAGCCATTGTTTGGAATCCTAAAGTGCCCTTGAGTTTCAGAAAGGTGCTATGCAAATGTAACTTAGCATCACTGATCTTATTGATGGTTCAAATATTTCAATGCCCCTTTCAAACCCTGCACCTCACAAGCACAGCACATTTAGTAGGTGATCATAGGTAAAGACATATTCCTTCTCATTAGAGGATCAGAGCATATTCATCCTCATATATGTTTCATTTGGTCAATTCTCAAACAAGCTGTAGCCTATAAATGCAAATGTGTCATGACTATGAACGAAATACCAGAAAGTGAATTATGAAGGCAGGAGCAGGAACTTTGTTCAGCGTGCAAAAAGGTAAACTTCAAAAGGAGACCTAATCCCAGCAGTGGCTGCACCACTTTCATCACTGTTTGAATTGACTCCTTCGGGGAACTCGCAAAGGAAACAAGGTTATCATCAAACATACAAACTCAAAGAAACTTAGACCTGCACCACAGATCACATCAATTATTAACACAATATCTGAATAAATAAATCTCGGGTCATGCGTGTGGGGCCAGTATGCCTTCTTTGCGGAAGCCATTTCATTAATACAGCAAGTGAGGCATGATAATAAGGACATTGTAGGACGCTTCTATGCAAAGCATCTTGAATTGCAATGTACCTGGATGTGATTTTCGACTCTTCCAGCAGTTTTCTGAACTCCTCCTTGGCATGCTGCAATTTGCTTTTTCTCTCCTTGTACTCTTCTTTTATCCTGGCTTTGACAAACTGATCAAAAATCTGCAGAGAAGCAGGGAGACAGAAGCTGGATCACTCAGAGGCACTAAGACATGGAGGAGTTGCAAGGCTCAGTAGCAAGGTCACTCTGAATAACATCTCTGCAAGCCTGCGGGTGTCAAATTGAGGTCGAGCTGCGTGCAGGGACACAGAGGTTTGGTTTAGAAAGGCCAAGGTCAGGGAAAGAGCTCAGAGAGGGTTCTACCTGTTTACGCTCCTCTGGACCCAGGAGAAGGTAACGCGGATCAAACACGATTTTGTGTAATTCCTTCTCCCACGTAGAGAATGCGGACACCTGACAATGACGAGAAAAAACCCAAGCAATAACAAAAGGCAATAATATTGTACACCCAAGTGTCAGCTAAAATCTGTTTACTACAGTTTGGGTCACAGTAAAGTGAGCAGTGAGATTAAATAAGAGGATCCTCTTCACGTTAGGGAGATCATTTGAATTGAGTGCTCACTCTCAAAACGTGTTTAAGTCTCTAAACAACAGTACCTGTGACCCTCATTTCGACAGTGAAACTAAAACTGACTACTCACTACAGCTGAATATGCTCCCTCAGCTATGCTGAATCAAATTGAACTCTGTTGGAGTTCATGTAATTTAGTGGTCCTACTGTATAAAGTTAGTAGACTACTCACCCCTCTCTCCAGGAGCATTTCTCTGAAGTGTGTGATCCGTAGCTCCAATGGTAGAACCATCTGATTAGATGTTCTGCACCTTTCTCCACAGTTCTCTTCACTTGTGGCAACACAATCTGTTGGCTCCTCCAGTCTTAATGAGAAATGAAAGGAAAAAAAAAAAGAATTCTGTTCAATCTGTTCACTTTACAAGCTTCAACTCCGATTTTTTGTCTGGTTGTATCTTTCTGTCTTGATGGTTCACATTTTTTGCGGAAGTGACCAGTATCTGTTATTATTGGGAATGAACCTGCACTCTCAAATAACTGACTTTTGCACATCCTGATCAATAGCCACAAAAAAATAAACAAGCTAGCAGCACAAGACTTCATTGCAAAGATCATTAACTCTGAACAGCTCTCATCTGTTCATGATTTGGGGAGAAGGTGAAATTAGGCCAGATGCTTTAGTACTTCTGCAGTAAACTTCCGTGCTGTGAACACAGGATGATGATGCTACTACATGCGTTTGCTTTATAAAAAACAAATAAATTCTGATCCGGCTGTTCTCATTAAGCTAATATGGCCATGGATCCATTTGAATCCCATGTAAGATCACATGCGAAAGTGGCTCAGATCTGATTTGGAAAGATCTGATTTTTGTATTCGCACAACTCTGAAAACATCAGATCTGAGTGACATTAAGGCACAAAATCAGTTTTGTGCCACTTTGACTGGTATTGTGAACCTGCCTGAATGTCCTAAAAACAATACTATGAGTGTTCCTCATATTGATTCCAAACACATTCCTGTTCCCAGCATTCCTAAACGAACATCTTGGTTGAAAAATACTGGAGTGATTGTACTTCAAAACTACAGTATGGCATTATTTTATAAATATTACTGAAATTGAATACTCATGTTCTCACTGAACTACATTAAAATTCAAATAAATAAATAAAATTCAATAAATAAAAACCATAAAAAATAAAACCACCCTTTTTTACTGCTTAAATTTTCATTAACACCTACAGAATCCCAAAGGCCATGAGATTTTTCTTTCAAATCTCTCCTGCTAGTCAGGTTCCTGCATGTTTTATTTACTTATTTATTTACACTAAAATAGTTGTAAAATGAAACTCCCCATAGTTATGCTAATGCATCTTTGTGCAAAGACGTACCACAGAGTTTCCTGAAAAGAGTTACAACAAGGTATATTCACTAGTCCAGCTTGCATAGAGAACGATCAGCTCCTGCCCTGCTTTGCTGTAATGCAGCTGTATAGAAATGGTTTGGTGAAAAATCTATCACATTTTTCCACTAACCCCAGATGTAGTCAATCAGCCAAGACATTTTTGGTGTCCAAATTTTGATTGTATGTTTTAGCACTGGAGCTTCAAAGCCAACAAACAGCAGAAGTCAACAGACGTCCAAATTGTTTCCATAAATGTATCCAAAAATCAACAAAACTTCATTGTGTAGCTGAACACAGCAGGCAGCTAGTTTGAGAAACAAGCAATAAGTTTTAAGAATGTATTTATGGAAAGGGTTTCTGTGACTATTGAGTTCTAGTGGTTGTTAATAACATTAGACTTGTAGCTCCAATTTAAAACTAAAGAAGCAAACTTTGTTCACCAAACATGTTTTGGCTGATCATCTACATCACAGGTAACTGTAAATTTGATTTATTTTTTTCTTTCACAGATGTACATTTTTGGCTCCATACTTCCAATTTTAACCTCATAAAAGGTACTACACTTTCACTTTAAGTACTTTATGTTCTGTTCCAACCTGACAAAGATGCTGCTGTGAATAAAATAAGTTGTGATGTAAACCATAACGTAAACCAAACAATTGTGACCATTCACATATTTTCATCTCCTGTGAACATATATAAATGAAATAAATGTGTAAGTGCAACCCTATTAAAATATCAATAATAATTAAAGATAATATGTACCAAATATGGTAGTTGTATCTTTATGACAACACATTTTACAAACTTTTTTTGCAGTTTTTCGATGCAGGCATCATTTTTCTCAGGTGCTTGAAGTAAATGGTCATGGCTCTGGTCATGTGACTAATCATGTGACCCACATACAAAAAATCTTATGAAATCAGGACAATCTATAATTTCATATATAGTTTGCTGTTCAGTAGAAAACACATGATGATGTGACCGGTGGGATTAAATGGGTTAATTCAACCCTGTAGGTGTTAATTCAGCACTGAGGATGTGTTGTGTACTGTTTGCAGTTTAACAGATGGTTAGTCCAAATTTACGCTTCAATAAGAACTTAGTTGAAATGCTTATTGAAATTACTCTCTCCCTTGGCTCCAGCTTTGACTTTACTTTGGGAAAAATAACAGATTGAACATAAGCTTTTCTAAAAATAAATAAATAAAAGCGTACACCAAATGCAAATAAGACCTCCCCAATCTCCTTGGAATGCAAATTTTGGGGACCTGTTGCACGTCCCGGCGCGTAAACACACATTGGGAACATACTTCAAAAAACCAACTGTTTAGAATGGAATCTCAGGGAGCTTGCAGGAGGAATTTTACACCAGGTTTAAGATACAGGTGGTAGCACATACTTACTGCAGTGTTGTGGTTATTCAGATTAGTGATACTGTATGCTGCCTCCTTCATTTGTAAAAAGCAACCAATACACCAGTTCACTGGACAATGGCCTCTCAAATGTCCAATACAGAGCTGTTCAGATTTTTCTGTCAGTGTGGTATAGTAGGGGACATACTTGTTGCGTTTGGATTTTGAAATATGGTCTTCCTCATCATCGTCTTCATCATCCTCATCATCAGCTGATACAGAGTTTGAGCCATCCTCTGCAGAAAAAGCAAGCGTCATATTGACATGGTGTTCTGTTGTTTTGGAGATTTAATATGTAAAATTTGCTACCGTCATCTTAATCAATCGCAGCAGGACTCAGAACAATATTTTCTGCTCCAATGCTTTGAGGAAGCTCACCCTTTTCTGTTTATTATAAAGATTCATATCTTGGAGAATGAATAAAAAAGACATCATTCATTCATTCGCCAGTGAATGACTTTATATTATAAAGCATGGCCTAATTCAGTATACCTGTTTTGTTTAAACTACAAAGCTCAAACATCAATAGCTATTTGTCTGACGACTGCAATAAGGTTAAATCAATAAAAGATGATCAAGCTTTAGGGAAATCTACCCAGCCGGGTAATAACTTTCAGATGGGATCTGAACTAATTCAATATTTGCAGAAGCAGTCACGACAGATTAGTCCTTATTATCTAATCCACCAGAACACCAGGTCAATAGTTTTGGGTATTATCTTTTTGTGTAAGAATCGTTATGATTATACAGGGATTGCATTGACAGTTGTAGTACATCAAATCAATAACCGAAACACAATGTGATTTTAAAACACGGCACCTATTGTGTTTAACAATTTTCTGAATTGATGTTTCTACTTGTCTACTTACCTCTTTCTTCAGGGAAGCAAGCAAATTTGTCCTCCATTGGACAAATATGACACTTTCATTGAGCATTTTATTATATGTACAGTATCATCCATGTTCCCAGTATTTGGACTGGCATCCTAGTGAAAGTACAGTATCCTGAATTCTGAATTATGTGTCAAAACATGCAACCTTACCCAGTGAGTCTTTCTTGCGTTTATGTGGAGGATCCTCTATGATTTTGTTGAGGTCTCCCCGATCTTTGAGGTCCACTGGTTTCTCCCACACAGACAGCTGCATGGTGGGGTTGAAGAAGAACACTCTGTCATCTCCCGTCCAAACCACACACCTGCAAACACAAAGAAAGAGAGGCATAGAGAGATATCTGCAGCCGGGGAGAGGAGGGAGGCTGACGTGCATGCATAAACTCACACAGGCACACGCTGCTGAGAACAAACTGGAAGAAGGGCGTTACACTTCAACACTCACTCACAGCAGAGTTATGAAACTAAGTAGAACTTTGGCAATATATCTCACACATTGTTCTGAAGTGCACTGTGACAGCAGCTGGGGCTTTAACCCTGGAAGTCCACAAACACATTGAAATCAAAGATTTTCAAAGAAAAGGTATCCTGTTTTTATACTTATCTTAACTTAATGAAGTGATTTAGGAATGTGATGATGCACAAACATTTGAATGTATGAATTATGTTTCTTTGATCACTTCTCATCTACATATACAATAAAGAAAGATGAAATTCAATACTATGTAAACCTTTAACATTTAATCTTTCCTCAACTGACTCAGAAAAGAATGACTGGTGAATGGTCAATCAATCAATCAATCAATCAATTAATCAATCAACCAACCAACCAACCAACCAATCAATCAATCAACTTCTTTATTTATTAACCAATTAATCAGTTACCAATTAGTAAAAATAATAAGGTCTAACATTAATACAGTAAAAGCAACACTCAAAATTTGCTCACTATCTAGTGCTAGATAAGTGTTGGCTCTAATAGTTTGCTAGCCAGCTGATTAAGAAAATCTGAATATCTATGTTTCGAAATCTATTTATCATGTATTTTCAAAGTTAAAATCACAATATTTGTAGAAAAAAAAAACTTACACTGTCATGAATTTCACAATTAAATTCCCAAGTCAAAATTTCCTAGGAAATGCATAGAGATCATTCATTTTGACCCTCCTTACAAAGACTTGGGGTAGTGATACAAAAATGTTATTTTTACAGAACTTGACCTAGAAAAATGGAAATTACAGTTGTGACGCTCACAAACAAGATTTTAGACGAATATATCATATCAACAGTTAAGCTCTTTTTTGGGGGGGTTGGGTCTATATATATATTAACTTAAACTGCCACATTATTGTTCATTTTCCTTAAACTAGCTGCACAAAATCTGTTCTATATCAATTATATCTTATTTCTTAATATATTGTACATTGAGTAACACTTTGAATGGTCCTTTGTAGATTAACCCTTTACCAAGCCACAAAGTTGATGATAAGTAGATGTATTGTGGATATGTTACATAAAGTAAATTTAATGTGTTGCTTCCATTACGAAAAACCTAACTTTACCCAACCTTACTCAAAACCTAACCCTAACCCCGGCCCTAATCTTAACCCTAACCTTAACCTCAACCCAAAACCTAATCCTGACCCTCAGCCTGGCCCTAATCCTAACCCGAACCTTGACCAAAATCTAATTTAGTTAAGATCCACTTACAGAATGGTGACAGCAGTGTGTCTATAACAGCTTGTTGAGGATGTTGAGATGGTCTGTATTAGACCTGTTACATGTTCAGTGACTTCTCAGGTGAAACATCTACAGATATGAACTTGGACCCTCCAAATAAAGTGAAAAACAACTGAATTCAGCAGATTATAAGCAAATTTTATTAATGCAGTTAATTAAAAGTATCTTGATAATCTACTGAATGTATGCACTGCTGCTACTTCACTGATATGTAATGATATGTTACTGAGACTCTGTTGAGTGTTTGTTTCATCTAAAAAGGACCACTCAGAATAAAGTGTCACTGTATATTGTTATACATTTGTACTCTTTTAAACAAGCTGAGAAACTCTGTTGAATGCGCAATTGAAAATATCAATCAGTCTCATATTTGTGTTCTTCGGTATTTAATTACAATTTGAATTTGAAGTTATTTTGTACAGTCTATTTTTTATGTAAGATATTTTATAGTATTGCCATGTTTTACATGTTTTTTTACCATTTAATGACAAAAGTCAGAAATGCAGACTTGTTGATACAGAATGCAAATCATATGAACATATAATTTATGTAACTAACTCTCTAATTACAATTATCTACCACAATCAAACAACCATAATAACACTGTACTACTAAGGGTCAAAGGTCCTCCAAAGAAACATGGTTTAGTTGGAGCAGGTATGGCTGATTAGGATTAGATGCAAACTTTGTAACAATGATCTCCATGAGGTAGGTTGATGGCTTTTTATCTAGAACCTTTCCTTTGAAAAGTCCTCAACATAATGCACTCTTATACTCTTCTCAACCCAAAATGTCTCTATTGTGATTCAGACCTTGCTTGGCCAATGGAGGAATCATATATTCCTCAGGAGTCCACAAAGTAATTTGATGTGACTTCAAGCCAAGCATGACAAACAAATTCTGACATTTCATTTTGACTCACATTACGGAATCTGAGCTGCCTTCTGGACGGGAGGCACACCAGCTTTAAGATATTAAACCATCTTTCAATGAAGCCCTCATATTCCTTATGTGCTGTTATTCATATTGCAAACAGATGGCAGATGCCACTCCAATAGCCTGTTTGTCCTTCCTGTAACTTTGTTAAGAGAATTCTGCTTTTTCCTCTCAATCATCTTGCCACCTAAAACATTCCTGCAAAACAACAGCTTAAGGAGCTGGCTTGCGACCCAGACATGCTCTACGCCCTAAATTGCCTTGAGGCTTTGTGCTATATGAGCAATGCAGGAACTAGATAAACACACGGAGGCTCTAGTGAGAGTCTCTCTGAGCCACTGTCATCCACAACATGTTTATTGTAAAGCCTTTTCGAGTGAATTCAGCTCCATGAGTCAACAAAAGCTGACAGAGATAAACCATTACGCCCGCTGTGGTACAAAAATCACAGTGCGGAGGGAGAAAGAAACGGTGCTCGTGCTGCTCTGCCAGGCTAAGATGGTGGGCTTGCATAACAGTAGCATTGTTCTGTTGCAGGGCTGAGATGGGGAAGCATTCAATGAGCTACGGCCTGAGGCTTTGCCTCTTGCACTGCTGCTATCTGGTTAGGCCTGTATTGCCAACATAAATATGCTACAAAGAAAAGCACGGCTTGTGATAACTTTGCATTTATGCATTAACGACCGGTATGCATAACAACGAGTGGATAGATGCTGGTGTGGATTCTCTATACACATATGCAGAAGTACTATGTGGTGTCAATCAAATGAGAACGCAATAGAATGGACTATTAAGGGGTCGGTTACCATGGTGATCCGGGTACAGGCGTCGATGCGACTGGCCGGTTGTCTTTAGATGAGCTGTCAATATCCATGCTGACCTTAAACTGCTCATCCTAGATGTTGAACACACACATACATAGACAGCTGAAATATTCTGCATTTACAGTACTGTGTCTGTCATGTCTAGGCTTTTTATAGTTTCCAAACAATACTGTGCAAAAGTTAGAGGCCACTTTCCATTGACTTAATTTCCAGTCAAAATAGCCTTTGAATACAACTTTTCCATTTTTAGCTGATTTCTGAGGAGATTAGGTATAAGATAATCCTCTTGCATGAGGGAGGGGAAAGTCAAAAATAAGTGAAAAGCAGGAGTTTCCAAAACTGGAGTTCAAAAATTCTTTAAAAAACACAGAGACAATGGGACTTTTATCTACTGTGCAAGGCCTGGTAGACCACCAAAACGGTCACCATCAGATGAACAGCACTTAAAGCTTTCGTTTTTGAGAAAGAGGAGAAAATCAAGCTCCACTCTTACTTCAGATCTAAAATAAATCCACAATAGTTTCTGTCAGTCCTTCCACTGTGAGAGGACAAGTCAGCACTTTGGGTCTAATAAAGATGTGGATCTGTCAAGAAACTGTTACTGAAAAAAAAAGAAATAGACAAAAATAAGAAAATGTGCCCTAGAACTCCAAAACTGGACAAAATCTGAGATGTGGGGTAAGATTCTATGGTCCGCTAAGTTCTATGAATTCTGGACATAACAGAAGCCAATATGTACTCTGTCAAGACTCTTTGAACTCTGGAGTTTGAAGATGTATAACAACATTTTAATTGATAACAACAAATGAATAAATAATGCGATACCCTCTGGAAAAGCGTTTGATTGGGAAAAAATTCATTCTATAACAAGATATCGACCTCATACTCACTGCAGAGAAGATCCAGCAATACTTACTTAAAAAAGAAGCAGCTGGTGTTCTCAGAACAATGGACTGACCACCAAAGAGCCCAGACCTCTACATCACTGAATATGTTTGGGGTTACTTGGATTGTGAGAAGCAAAGAATGCAACCAATGTCCAAAACTGAATTTTGGAGATGTGGAATATTCCTACAGATTTCTTGGAAAAACTGAACATACTAAAAACAGTGGAAGCTGATAAGCAAAACGTGGACACACTAAATACTGAAAAATGTAATAGTATATTTTGTTGCTGAGGCTTTTGGATAATTTTATGTTAAAAGTTTAAGCTGAAAAATGAATGACTTGTACATATTGGCCATTTTGACTGGAAATTGAATTAGTTAATGGTCTCTGACTTTTGCACAGTACTGTATGCACAGGATAAGTTTATGAAAACGTGAGCCAAGGGCTGATAATATGTCAACATTAATTGCAATTGCAGATGACTCTGCTTGATTGAATGGAAAAAATTAAATTAGATTCATACAATGACTTGTTCTGCTGAGTGTGAAATGTTTTTAATGATGTCTAGAACAGTCACACTGTCTCTCCCTTTATACTGAACACAGTCACAGCCCTGTTAGGAAGAGGAGGATTTAACATGTTTTCAAATTCATTTTGTGAAGCACTTTTGCAGTGCGAAATTGCCTCCACAATCTAATCGCTCCTCCACTCTCAAAGAAATCCAACGCAAATTATCTTCCAAACTTACCTCTAAATTAGCACAATGAGGCAGTAAACCAAAAGTAAATGAGTTGACAGTCACCTGCATGGTTTCTCCTCATCTACAGGACTCTTGATCCCCGAATGTGTTTTACAAATGTGTTTCGTAATTGACGTTCACCACGCTATCTTTCCCTGCTGATCTATCATGTGAATATGAAGTTCAATTAACTTGCCTCATCCAAGGGTTAGGAGGCTAATAACAAAATGCGGAGTGGATATTATTGTGTGATAAACGGTTTAGATGTGTTCGGCTCTCGACGACATGCAGATAGCAGTCAATTACTCAACCCCTGCCTGACCAAATGACACAGATTACCAATTCTCCACACTCAGGCTGTTGGGCAGCAGCCGCACTCACTGTGTCTGGCCAAATGAATTAGTGTTCTGGGGGAATTCAGCTAATTAATGTGGCTGGAAGGGCTTTCCAAACCATCAGCCTATAGGGAACATTGTGGTATGCTGCACTCTAACCAAACGATAACAGAGCCGTCTTAATTGGACCCTAAATCTTAGCCTCTTTCTGTTTTCAGTCTCTTTGTAGCAAATCAGTTTGATTTTCTTTGGTGGAAAAAAGACAGTTAGGATCAATTTATAGCAGACCACAGAACTGGAAATTGAATGAACTGCACAGTTATGGCAATTAAGTTGATGTTGCCTGTTACACGAACATAATGATCAGACAGAACTAATGATGGAGAAAGTGACTGATGATCACAAACCTCCACTTTGTCCTCCGGGGTGGAATCAGAGTGTAACACCAAAGCTCCCGCGCAGGACGGCTTCTTCACTTCCAGCTTCTTTTCTGAGGGGTAGAACGCCTTGGCTTAATTTTGGCAGTCTGAATTCTCATCAGTCCCACACAGTCAATCAGCAATCAACAGACAGCTCACACTCTGAACACTGCTTCAGTCTGTGTGACTGACAAAATCGTTCTGAAGTGGAGTCAAGTAGGCTAATTAAAGGACTTAGGGATTCAATTGGTCTACCAATCAAATCTTCATTTATAAGTAATGTAGGCAATGCAAACAGAACGGAAATGGTGCAAATCATTTTCAGATTTGTAAGGGGAAGTTTTCAATGGGCAGCTGAGCAATTTTAAATGAAATTAAACTAGTTAAGCATTCACTTGGCTCACCAATCAAATATTCAATTATAAGCAATGTAGGCAGAGAAAACTTGATATTGAAACAGTGGAAATCATTCTTGGATGAAGGTAAACTCTTCTGTGTAACACAATGATGTGCAATGAACTTTTGCCAAATTTAATCCATGTTTTTATGCTCAAAAACACAAAGATTCCAAACAGTGTGTAGCATTCTGGGACCTTACTTCATTTCTATTACCAATTTCTCAAAGAGGGAAGGTTGTACTTATGAACCTAAATTCCAAAAGGTTGGAACTTTTGTGAAATACAAATAAAACCCAAAATAGTGATCCGTAAATCCACTTTGTAGTTAAAATAAATAAATAGTATAAAGACACAATACATAATGTTTTTCCTTATCAACTTAATTGTCTTTTGGTTGTTTTTTGCTCATTCTGAAATTGCTGCAGGCAACCTATTCCAAAAAAGTTGGGATGGGGAAATTTAAGACTAGGAATGTTGTACAATATCTTAAGAAGTTGATCATGTCTGGGTACAAAAAGGAGCAATCCTCACCATTTTGCCAAAAATTGCATCAGTGAATAATCCGATTATTAATCTAACATTAAAAGCAACGTTCCTCAATAAGCAATTGCAAGGATTTTAACAATTTCACCCTCTGTGATGTATGACACTGTCAAAAGATTCTGAGAATCCGCAGAAATCTCTGTGCATAGCAAGCATGGCCAAAAAACACAACTGGATGCTTATGACCTTCAATCTCTTAAACACCACTGCTTTAAAACTGGCATGCTTCTGTGATGGATATCACCACATGGGCTTGAGTATACTTTGACAAACTGTTGTAAATAATCATTGCTAATCTGTAAAGTTAAGTATGTACTGTGCACAGCATAAGCCATATATCAACAATGTCCAGAAACACCACTTCTCTGGGCTCAGGCTCATCTGAAATGGAATGATATACAGTGGAAATATATATTGTGGATGATTTACAGAAATAATGTGTGAACATCATGATCTCTGGGCTAAAGACTGTTATCAGCATAAAGTTTGCATTTGTTACAACAACATGGCTACATAATCAGAGAGCATGGGTGTTAGACTGGCCTGCTTGCAGTCCAGACCTGTCTCTCATTGAAAACATATGGCACATTATGAAACGTAAAATATGACGACAATGGCCCTGTATCATTGTCAGTAATAGAAGAACAAAAAATCTACTTAAAAAACTGGACCAATTGGTGTCTTAAGTCCCCAAAAGAATGGTAAACATGCTCTCTCCCAACCTTTTTGGAACATATTGCAGGCATCAATTTTGATTGACCATTATTTACAGACAAAAAAACAAAACAAAGCAAAGCAAAACAAAAGGTAAGATATATTTTTTGTAATGTTCTCAGTTTAATACAGGTCAAGGTGAATTAACTAATTACTGAGTTGATGTTCCTTGTTTTTTTAGCATTTCACACAACAATGAGGTTTGCTATCAATTTGGTGACATGCTTTTAATACATGGGTTCAATGCCAGAATGAAGTGGAAGCACTTGAATCTCTGGCATTTAATCCTCCTCCTTGGGGTGTGAAGACATTTGTACCTGTATAACTTGTGGTTAGGGTTTAAGCAGTGTACCACTGTGTCACTGTTCAAGCTCATTCCATGGCTTCTGGACTTTATTTATTGTTACTATTACGATTGCTCTTTGGCATTGTTCCTGCAGACTGCTCTAAGGATTTTGCTGAGGATCGAAAAACAATGATATGGGCTTGCATAGCTAACATTAGCGTTAAGGAATTATACATCATTGCGAAAGGTCTTGAAGTTCACTTGTAGAGCTACAAATCAAATACTGTTTGTTTCTGATTCAGTATGACAGAATTCTACCAGAAAACCAATAAGAAAAAAAGAAAAGAAAAATAAAAGAATCAAGACATCAAAGCAGGTATTAGCACTGGACTGATAAGTGTACAAATTGATGGCAAGGACTATCTGCAACAATGTAATACCACTGTCATTCATCTTTGTTTCATAATCAGTCTGGATTTGCCTGGACATTTTGCATTTCTTCAACAGCACACATGAAACTAGAGGGGATTCTAGGATGTTGCATTCTGTGCTTGATCTTTTTGCCTTTTTTCAAACTGAACAGAGAAAAAGCTCATGCCCCCAAACGTGCTCGAATTTCACTGGCAAAGAGAAAGAAGGGAAAAAAGAAGAAAAAAAGCGAGTGCTTCAATTGATGTGCAGAACACAGGGTATGGCACTGATGACTGTGGGCCTTCTCTAAAGCAACAAGACTGCCCAGAGATGACAGAGAGGGAGGCATTCAACCATTGCTGTTGAAGTGTGAATGGAAATTCAGCACGGTGCTCTTTGAAAAAGTCTGAGAGCCACAAAAACAACCAAACAACAGGAGGTGATTTATAACAGCTGTGGCAGCAGCAGAGAAGTCTGCAAACTTTTGTTCGTTCACGATACTGGGTTAGTACAATGCTCTGAAGCTCCAGTACAGTGCAGAGTACTGAGAATATACTGCTTGTTTGGTGCAACATTAATCAGGAATTTCACTGCGTCATTAAATGTATCAGACATAAAGAAAGTTATTCAGAGTGGTTTGAAATAAAATGCGCTTTTCCAGAAAAACTTGCCACACCAGAATTGTTCACCGCGGTACTGACAGAAACGTTTGAAGAGTTTAATGTCTATAACAGCTTCCTCACAGAAAGGTATGATATAAAATGGTTATGAAGATGCTGTCTGAAGATGTAAACAAAAGAATGAAAAAGTCTCACCTGATTGGACAGATTTTAGGATGTACATTTGGTGACAATAACATCAATAATATCCATCAAACTCTCTGAACAATGGCATACTCCAGCCTAACCGAGCTTGTGGGTTTTATGGATGTCTTGTTTTGTTTGCCTTGTTGTATTTTAGAGCAATAAACCATGAGAAGTCATGCTTTACTCGGGTTTTCCTGTGATGTGAAATGGTATGAAATTGTTGTAGCACACAACCTTGAGTGGGCTACTCCTTTTATAAAATGGCAAAAATTTGGTGCATTAATACATAATATAGCTGATCTGTGTGAACATGTTCATATATTTGTAAGTGTCCAGCCTGCAGCACCGGCCGCCAGCAGAGGGCGACGGCGGCGAGGTGCCATAAATTCAGGGAACTCCAATTCCCAGAAGCCCTCAGGCTGATTAGGCCCAACATGGCACACCTGTGGACTACTCTACTTAAGGCTGTGGCAAATAGCAGCCCTTTGTCACACCTTTGTAGAGGGGTGACCAGTACTTAGCCCAGGTGGGGAAAAAAAGGAAAAGAAAAGGAAAGAGAGCTGAAAACAAAAAAAACAAAAGAGAGAAATTGCCCCAAAACTACTTTAAAACCAAAAGAAGGCTTGAACAAGAAATGGCTACAAGCCATACAAAAGGTGTTTGTTCCTCAAAGAGCAAACAGGTGAAACATAAAGTCTACCTCCCTCTCATAATCACAGAGGAAGTATCTTTTGTTTTCTGATTATCTTTTATTTCACTTTTCTATTTCAGCCTTTGTGTGAGCATGCTGCTTTTTCCCCACCTTTTTATTTCCCATTCGTTGAGGTGTTTTTCCCATTTTTGCCTGTGCTTCCTGGTGGCGCAGCGGTAACTCCTCAAACTGACAATCAGTACATTGGTGGTTCAAGCCTGGCTCTGAGCTGCCACCACAACTCCAATGTGCACAATCACATATTCACACTCCTTCACCTCAATAAATTCATTTAAGACCCTTTCTCATTGGTTTTCCTCTCTGCACTTGGGTCCGCCTCCCTGCCATCCTGTAACAATATTAAGCACTTTATAATGCCTTGGCTTCATTTTTAAACCAAAATGATTCATTCTACACAGAGCTTTGTCTGTTGCATGTACCAAAGAAGGCATGTAGATGAGATGATGCTTCATTGTATCTTTGTTCCATTTAGACATCTTTAGTCTGTATTGTGTTCGTATTTCAAACTGCACCAGACTTCTGTGTAAGCAGATTAAAACCAAACTCCTCAGGGGGTCTGCTTATTCTGTCCAGGGTTCACATGGCAGCGTTCTCACTTATTCTATCGAACCAAAAAAGCTCTCGCACAAGGGCACATTTTAATGAAACCAAACCTGCCAAGTGAAAATATGCCCTTAATCAGCTGAAGCTTTTATTCAGGCTAGAGATCAGAAACAGCTTAGTACAATTCTTACTGTTGTCATTTCACACATCCTAAGTAACAGAACATATATTAAAGCTTCTATTACGAAAGTTGTGCGGTTTTGTTACGACAGCGATGCTATGCTACTCTCACTTGCTTGTTTACATGTTTGCTTAATTATTTATTTCTTTGAACATAGACAATGCCATCCAGGCACTTCATCCAAAGCTTCATAAGCACTGTGAAGGCACAGTTTTTGAATTTTTATCCATCCAAATCCCTCACATGTGAGTTCAACGCCTACAGCATGCAGTCATCTGCTCAGCTCTGATGGAAAGCATGACAGACAACACAAAAAGACTCATGTCTCTAGGACACAACAGCAATATATATTTGTCTGACGATTGCCTGGATGAAATCCAATCACTTGTTGTTTAATCTCTTCTTAAGCACAACACTAGCAACTAAATCAGGCTTGATTCCTCGCAGAGAACATAAAAATATACAGTTAAATATATAGGGGATGATACACATACAGAGAGAGAGAAAGAAAATAGAGCTTAAAGTGGACCTATTATGCTTTTCCATTTTTCCCTTTCCTTTGATGTTATATAGCTTCTCGTGCATGTAAATGAACTGCAAAGTTACAAAGCTCAAAGTAGAAAAAAGAGTAACTCAGAAAACACTTTTCTCTGCTGCCTGAAATGCTTTGTTGGAATTCCAGTCCTTTTCCTTTGTTACAAGATGATGTAATCTCGTAACACAATCTTTATTACCCGCAAACCGGCAAGTTTGGCACAGCCTCACACAACACACAGCAATTACTGGAGGCCAGAAAGAGTATGTTTAGTTTTGTAGCCGCGTCAAGAAGACGCTGACCTGACTTTCAGGATTGGACTCTGGTTCAAACTGATATGGCAAAACCAACGTCACTGGAAAAATAGCCATAGCAGTGTTTACAGCTGCTCAGGAGAGAAGGGTCTGTCTACAAACTGCAAGACAGGGGCGGAACCGCACTGGCGGTTGACCAGTCAGAGAGCCACTTAAATGTTCAATTCCCACTTAATTCCATAATCTATATATGACTGCTGTTCAAATGCAACCTCTGTGCTTCCTTTATGCCAATGTGTTTCACTGGGTCGTCCTACATCAGCTGAACAAAAAAGAAACAGATGGTAGTGAAGCAACAGCATGAAGCTATTTTACTGCTTTTCGAGAGGTGACAGCAAACTTTTTACCGGCTTGCTGAAGCATTTGAAGTGGTGCTATGTATGTGGCTGCTTTGTCATGTCCACTGTCACACTTTATAAAGGAAAATGTTTCCTTCACAGTAAGAAAAATGAGACATTAATCCACACTTTACACAGTCGTGCTGTCATGCGACACAAAGTAAGGTGACACAAGTCCCAAATCCCATCCCATTACAAAAAAAAACCCCAAAAAACTCTGGGTTGTCCTTGAAAACAAACTTGTGACATTATTGTTTAGCCGCTTCACCCACAATCGACAAGCTTCTGTGTTTGGTATTCTTAACTAACTAAAGATGCAGTCCAGTGGTTGGTTACACCAGCTGTGCGTCAATGCAAATGTAGGCTAGTAGTAAGATAAGGGTTCAATAAGTTCAGGTTCATGCATTACTAAGTCAAAACGAGTTGCACCACACAAACTAGTTTTAATGTTGAGCTGCATATTTGTTTTTTTTCCCAGGGAAATATTAAAGAATAAACAGACCATGGCTATAGATAATTCGTTTTTATTTAAAAGTGTACACTTTGGGTCTCATTCACCGGCAGCTCTTAAGAAGAAATTTCTTCTTATAACTCACTCACGCAGTTTTCACGAAGATTCTGAAATTCACTAATGTTTCCTTATTGGAGATTTGTTCTTAGGTAAAACACAATCTACACACACTAAAGAGCACAAAGATGTTGGTGAATAATGCCCATTCTTCTCCTCTATGCTGGATATTTTTACCATGGAAAAGGTTAGAGCAAGCTGCCCTTCTGTTTCAATGGCAGCAGGTTTACTGATTGATTCTGAACATGTTATTGTCATGTTAAAGTGATGTATGCATTATGTAGCTGTTGGATTTGTGGTGTAACCAAATTTCGTAAGAGGATAGTTTGAAACTAACTAGTATAAACTGAGAAGTTAGTAAAGACTTTGGCTTCAAATTTCAGTACAAACATATGCATATCCGGTGCAACTCAGTCCTGGTCTGTCTCAGGGTGGTACTGTAGCAAATTGGTTCATCCAGTTGGTTCTTCATGGCCTAGCAACTGTAACGATGACCAGGATAGTTTCTCAGAGGTATCCCGGTCATTGTTACAGTTGCTAGGCCATACCACAATATGCTGTGATATAGGGGTGGGGGTTCTGGGTCACTAGCCCCACCAAAATTAAAGCTGGATCTGCAATGCCTAGTACAAAACTTGAGAAAAGCTATGGTAGTGAAACTGCATAGAACAGTCTGAAAAAAGTAATTATAAGGCATTTGTATTTAATAGCAGGAAAACAGTATGAGTTGTCACAGTTTCCCCTATGCCCCTGTGTTGTAGGCACATGCTTTTTAGTCATGATCTTTTGTTTTCGTTTTGGTTCCTTTGCTCTGCCCTTTTCCCACCTTCCCTTTTAAGGTTCCCACCTGGTTTTAGTTCCTGTCTTCTCCCTCTCCCAGGTGTTCCCTATTGTGTTTTGCAGGACAGAAATTTCACAAACTGACTTGTGGCAGAGGTGACATCCTATGACAGTGCCATGTTTAAAGTCACTGAGCTCATCAGTATGACCCACACTACTTCTACTGTCGGTGTTTGTCTATTGAGACTGATGTGCTTAATTTTATCCACATGATAGCAATGGGTGTGGTGAAACACCTGAATTCAGTAATAAGGAGAAGTGTCCCAATACATTTATCCATGTAGTGTATTTTGAGTCACTCTGTTTGCTGTTGGACGTTTGATTGCCACTGCTATGGTGATTTTCTGGAAGCTGAAGCCATTGCTAATGCAAAGCCTAAAGCCACCTTAATAGCCAAGATGGAGAATAATGAGGGAGACGAAGCCACAGCTGAACTAAAATTATGCTCTTTTTAAGATTAAAGGTGCTCAGTGCGCAGACAGGAGAAATCAGACGACACACCAAAGCTGAACCTGAACTGAATACAATGGCGGTCCCTTAATCATATGCAACATAATGGGGTGTGGCAGAGATGCATACTCTGTAACTTTAGTAAATGTAGTAAATACAATAGTAAATGCAACGCCTGTTTAACCGAAGCTGGTGCCCATGGATCCAGTACTATGAAGTCATGGAGAAACCTATTGACCTAGTGGCAGCACTTGGTGTTACTCTCCCTAATTCTGAGCTGTTTCATGGTTTGAAAGTAATAAAAAAGCAGTCCACGTTCAAGTGTCTAACCAGAAATAATACACTCTAATAATATTGCAAGTGTACATTTTTAGTGACTGACTGAAGATCAGTGTTTTAGGTTGTCAGGTGTTTTGATTAAGAGGCACTTAAAACAAGGAATGATCTTACATCAGTAAGTCTGCCGTGTGTTCTCTGTGAATGTACAAGACCTAGGAGGAAATTAAATGATTTATGAACTGCTAGATTAATTACATGCATGGGATGTTAAACATGAATAGCCCTATTAACATTTTTCATGTGCTAGTGATGTTGCTAAACATTTTCAGGGGATGCTTCAGCTCCTAGATTATATTAAAAGTGTTGACTGAAATTCTCACCATTTTTGGCACTTTGACACATTACACTTTTCTCATTGCATTTGCTAATGAATATATTAGCAATAAACATGTCATATGTCAGTGTGAAAATAAATATAAAAGCTTACCAAAAAAAAAAAAACTGGTGCTAATATTGAGAAAATTTGAATGTGCACCCAAGGAAAGTCAGCAAAAAGCTTGACTCTTTCTTGACTGAGCTCACCTGGTGCTGTTTGATCTTTCCAGTCTCCGGTAACGACGGTCACACCTGGGGCAGACAGGGACGTTACTGTGGCGATCTGTGCTGGCAGGACGGGACTCAACAGGCTCTCCCAGGCGCGCCGAGACCCTGTGAGTCACACAAAGAAAGAGAACGTGATCACGCAATCCATCTGCATAAAAGAGCCCTCACAGCATCAAACAACACAAAGAAAGAGAGAGAGAGAGAGAGAGAGGATGGATAATCTTGGAGTACACTAAAGATAAGTGAAGATAAGAAGGATTTGCCTTAGTACAGCAACTGGTACAGCGATTGCTTTCCTCAAAGCATTTGATCTGCTCACTTGTGCTGAACCAGGGAAAAATACCAGGCTGGAATTTGCTGCACACAGGGGCCAAATAAGATGCTGCAGGTAAGCAATATTCCAAGTAAATTCATTCATGCATGATACATTATGAAGGTTACTTTAACCCCTGAAATTCCCAGGCTTATTATGTACTAAAGCTCATTATTCAGTAACTAGATGCACTTTAATTCAAACTGGCTGAGCTGTTTTTAGGTTATAGGAGTGTGTAATCAAACTTTGGTCCCACTGGTGGGTCCAGATCATTTAAGGGATTAAATGCACAGATTGTGTTATATATGCGGAAACATGGACTTCACACACAACGTGGGAGGAGAAAATGGGTGGAGAATGGTGCATCTGGTTACATATCATGCTTGATTTATACAACAGTTGGTTTTTCCAACAACAGATAGTTCTGAAGACACAGTCTGTTTGGTTGAGAAGTGTTTTACCATGTTTTTTTCACAATAACCATCTCATTCCACTGAGCACCAGTTGCTAAGTAGACATTCTAGTTATGTTTCAGCTAACCACTACCGATTTTCTACTTTAGCACATAAAATGGACACATTTAGATTACTTCTCTCAGATAATATTTTAGCTGAAGCCTGTTTGGCCAGATTCTAAAGAAGAGTGTGACGGCAGGTCTACATCAAATTCTTAACCAGTTGTTGCCCCTCAGTAAGCTTTCGGTTGGCAGCTGTGACGGAACAACTGAACAAACTGAAATCAGTTAAAATGTAATAAGAATACAATTGATAAAACAGGATGGGCTGTGAAATTTACAAACTTTACAAGCTGACTGGCACAAAAAAAAGTTAAAAGTTTAAAAAAAAAGTTAATCTGAGAACTATTGAAAAAATATGAAATGAACCTGATATTGTGACAGTTTTACAGCTCTATCCTTAAATCAAAAAGCTACTTTTTTTCTGAAAAAATTGCCAATATTAAGGCATACTTGATACAATGTTAAGAGCATCTCAGTTTTCCTTTTTTTCTTTATTTTGCAGAACTTGTGCATAAAAGCAACACTTCTCATGAATAACATCACTTACATCATCAAAGCCATGATGTTGTTCACAACAACACACTCCCTCTCATGTAGTGTTGCTTAAATATATTACTGTTACCATTAGGAGCTCACTTATGGTCTTTACACACTGTGCATGGTTTATGAGAACATGATTTATACACCAAGTGTATTTTTTTCAGACAGGGAAAATGCAATTTTTAATCTTAATCCAATTTTTGAAAACTTTTCCACATGACATGGACCCACTCAACCAAATCACAGATGTCTCTCCTGTTGTCATGGCAACAACTAAGATGAGTCCCAGCAACTATGACTTTTTGACAAATATGTGGAGCTGCATCTCCAAAAGCAACTCAAACTTGAGTTACAGACAGCCAAGCTGTGTGGAAAGCACTCAAAGTTTCAGCTGCTGGATGAGTCAGTAAAACTGGTGATTTTGTGGCTAGTGTGTTCTTTTTTTTTCATAGCACATGGCAAAATTCCTAACAAAAAATAAATAAATAAAAATTGTGTACAGTTTTGATGCAAAAAATGGTGTCTTAAAATCTTTGTATTGTTTATTAACAATGCATTTTAAATTGGGGGCAGAAAGGAGGCACACGGCAGACTGTAGAAAGCACATATTACATGAATATAAATATAACAAAAATAACAGAGTCAAGTCCCAGATGTTTTAGGCAATTTAGAAATCTTGGCAGGACCCTTATTTTAGGTCCCGAAAAGAGCATTTGTCTTGGAAAAAAAGAAGATATGATCAAGTTAAAGCCTTAAACTCCATCATGCTTTGAAGAGTTTTCAAGAATGTTTTCCAACTACAACTTATTTTGTAAGTATTTGTAAGTATAAGGTTCAGTGATATATTAAAACTCAGGGAATTTAGAGCAAGATCACTTCTTTAAAGCCTCCACATACAACAATTTTAACTAACGATGAATAAAAGCCTTCTTCACTAGATTAACATTTGAATGGAATGGATGTTGTTTACAGTCCAGTCTCTTCAACTGGGCAAGATTCAACCTTTTATTTCTCCCTGCCTGTCTGAATTCGGGCGGATAACCGAGCCTTGTTTGGAAAGGTTAATTACGTTTGACTTTAGCCGTAGGCAGGGTATTGTCTGAGTGTCAAGCTGAATATGAATCCGCCATTTTCACCGGTGGAGGAAACAAGCTTCAATTTGGAAACAAAATTCAAATTTGCAATGCATTTGTCATATTTTTAAGTTAGCCATCTGGTCTGCATTCCATCAGACCGATTCCTTTCTGTGTAATTCAGTGTAATCTTTTAAGCAATACGAGCTCCAAATGGAGGAAAAGTCAAGGTATAAAACAGCTCCGGACACATAAAAACATAATGTGCTATATTTGTGCATTACTTCAGTGGCAGTTTCCGATTTAGAGAGACATTTGTTTTTTTTCAAAAGCTGGAAGCTTTTATGGACCATTAAAAAACTGAAAACAACCCCAAACTGCTCTGATGAGACCCATCAAAATAATTGTCCATTTCAGCCCAGATAACAACCACTGACGACTCCTTTAAGCGTAAAGGAGCAGCAGGACTGGTGTGGGTCTGACTGACCCTGATTTATAGGATATCCCTTCGAGAGGGAGAGTGTGTATGAGAGAGAGTGAAAGCAGGGAGGGGGAGAGCATGAAAGAACAGAAGAAAGAGAAGATCAAAAGATAGAAAGAGAGAAAGCAAGAGAAGAAAAAGTAAGAGAGAGAGAGAGAGAGGAAGAGATAAGCAGAGGTGAGAAGTCAGAGCTCATTCACACAGAGTGAATGAGTGATGTGAAGAGGGAGGTGTAGGATCCAGCAGATGGAAATCAGGCATGTGGGGGAGGTGTAGAGCTTTCCGCACTGAGTTGTGAATCATCAGCAGATCGTGAAATTCATTCGCACCGTGAGAAAGTTGTGATTACTACACCATCTAAAACACTGATTAAAGAAATAACTGTGCATTTCACTTCAGACTTAACTAAGGTGGCTATCGTGATTCTTTGTCATTGTTTCCTATTAAGGACTGTTGTATGATTAATTATGAAGAATATACAGACTGTTCAATGAGTGAAAAATCAGTCCCAGACCTGTGTGTGTGTGTGTGTGTGTGTGTGTGTGTGTGTGTGTGTGTGTGTATGAAAGAGTGGGAGGAGTGTTTGCTATTAATAATGAAAAATATATTGCTTGTAAATGACGACGACTACTACTACTACTACTACTACTACTACTACTAATAATAATAATAATAATAATTATTATTATTATTATTATTATTATTATTATTATTATTATTATAAACATGTTAATTAAATAGGTGCATGGTGGCCTTCAGTGGAAGCATCACCATCAAAGTAACATAGCACGTCATCCAATATGAGTTTCATAAGCTGCTGAATTCCCTAAGGCTCTGTCACACATGACAATATCATAAACAATGACAAAAATCAATTTAGATAGATAGATAGATAGATCTTACAGTCATGTAGTGGGGTAGACTGCCTATTTTCCTTTGTCTTCATTGTGTTGTCTGAGTGACTAGTGACAAAGATTCAATACATTTGTAGCCTAACACAGTGCTCTTGCCATGTATTTCTATTGTAACTTCCACTTAAAGAAACAATGTTAACCGGCTTTGTTTCCCTTCTTCTGCCTCAAAAGTGATCAATTTGATCACAATGACTTTTGTAAACTGCACAACCCCATTTCTAAAAAAGGTGGGACACTGTGCAAAATGTAAATAAAAACAAAATGAAATGATGTGCAAATCATTTAAACCCTATATTTAATTGAAAATAGTACAAAGACAACAAATCAAATGTTGAAACTACGAAATTTTATTGCTTTTTGAAAAATATATGCCCATTTTGATTTTGATGCCAACAACACGTTTCAAAAAAGTTGGGACTTGCATAGCTTGCAAAGCATCCCAACTTTTTTGGAAATGGGGTTGTAAAACTTCGCCATTTATGGGGTTAAGTGACATCTACATTTGGACCTCTAGGAAGATAACAGTTAATAAGTCCGGAAAATGTTGGGAAATGTGCAATCAATGATCATCATGCTTATTCATTGTTGTGATACGTAAGGGAAAACAGAAAAGCAATTGACTGTGTCAGGAGGACCATCCACAACTACATGGAGAAAGATATTACAGCAAGGCTGGAGTGCATAAACCCTCATTACAAAGATTAGTGCACATTTGAGAGTTCAGTGAAAAAATTGTGAAATGGTCAGATGAGTCATCCTTCACCATATTCTCCACAAGTGGGGGAGTGCATGTGCAACGCACACCAAAAGAACAGTACAGGCTGGAATGCTTGAGGCTGGGTCTGTTGGCTTTGTTCTCTATCGGGGGCATTTTGCTGAAATGGATTGGGTCCACTTGTCCACTTAGAGGGAAGGGTCACTGCAAATCAATATGAAGTTATTTTGACCAACCACTTTCATCCATTAAGGAAACATTGCTATTCTGATGGAAATGGCCTCTTCCAGAGATGGCAATGCCCCATACACAGGGCATGAGGGATCACTGAATGGTTTGATGAGTAGCAAAATAATGTAAATCATATGCCATGACCTTTGCAGTCACCAGCTCTCAACCCAATTGAACACCTAATGGAGATTTTAGACCAATGTATTAGACAGCACGCTCCACCACAATCATCAAAATAGCAGTTACAATGGTGTTTCTTTTGGAAGGAGGATGTTCTACCTTCCAGTACAGTTCCAGAAACTTATAGCATCCATACCCAAG